GTAGGCCAGCCCGACACGACCCAATCAAATAAAAAAAATATAGGGATGCAAAATAGACTTAAGTAAAGGCAAGGCCCAAAGAGAAGAGGAATACAAAATAGACTTATTTTCCAAGCCATTTGAACACAGCCCACAGAGTTGAGGGATGAAAAATAAACTTTTTTTTGGAGAAGCACGATGGGCCATCATGCCTTCAGGCCGGCCCGGCACGACCCGAGTAGTATTGGGCCGTGTATGACGCCCGTGGACTGGGACGGCACGGCCCAGCGCGTCGGTTGGGCCGTGTCGGCCCGACTAGCCTCGGCCCAGGCACGACCGAGCTTGGGCCGTGCTGTGCCGGGCAGCTTAGTTGGCCATCTATAGGATGGATGTAGAGGATGTGCCCCCATAGTGCACCATCGACCCCGGAGAGAAAATTGACATTCTACTATCAACAAAATAAAGTTTCGCTAAAATACCACTTCATAGTTGGGATTCACCAAAATGCCACTCTCAACTGGGGGCTTTGCTAAATGTCCTTTTTTTTTCCAATTTTCCTTTTTCTCCCATTTTTGCTAACCAAAACACCCCGGTTAAATCAAAGAAAATCAAAACCATCGAAATTTCCCCAACTTCTTACTCGAGCAGGGCAGCAGCGCTATGGTCCTAGTCGCCTCCGTCCCTTCACACTACCTCTCACGCTGCCATGTCATCACCACGCCCCATCCCTTCGCGTTGTCTCCACGCGCCGCCCCACCGCACCGCCTCTTCTCGTGTCGCCCTCATCGTCGCGTACTGCCCTGCCGCCGCCTATCCCCTCATGCGGCCTTGTCGCTTCTCCCCATGCTCCATCCAGCAGCCACCCCTCACTTACGCTGCCCTGTTGCTGACCCTCCCCTCGTCCTGCCGCCGCTACTTGTTTGGTCAACAAACTTAAATATATTCACTCGGGGGCATTTTGTCAGCAAAGATGGGAGGAAAGGGAGAATTGGAAGAAAATGCCATTTGGGCGAAGCCCCCTAGTTGATACTAGGGGTGAAAACGATCGGAAACGGTCGGAATCGGTAGCATCTTTTCGGAAACGATGCTCGATCGGCCGGTAATTGCCCATATTTATCATCTAAACTACTCAATATCGACATTAATACAATGCAGAAAGAAATTAGAAAAAAATAAAAATAGCCAAAAACGGTACGGTCGGAAACGGTACCCCTTATACTGAAACAGCGCCTGGTCGATCAGGAATTTCCGTGACCATTTTCACCCCTAGTTGAGAGTGATATTCTGGCAAATCTCAACTGCATAGTGCTATTTTGGCGAAGCCCCGATTTGATGATGATAGAATGCCAATTCTCTTGCCGTGTTTTGAGGTCGTCTTCGGTGTCCACTAGCCCATCTTATCCACCTCAACCCACCTCCCCCTTCATCCTTCGTCTACATCACCAAATACCAAGTGTATAAGTATACATAGATCCATATTGATGAAATCATATAAAACTATATGTTGCATACTCTTCATCAAGATAGATTGAAGTAGACTTACTTTGTTTTCAACAGAAAGCCAGAAGACATGTTCTGATGTTCATGATCGATTGTGTTGCGTGGATTGAGCTACTTTCACTTTGAAATGTTCTGATGATTCACAATATAAATTTACATGTGCTATGAATTACTATTCACATTATCATTAGCTTCGTTCACAAGGTAAATTATCAGTCAAATGAATGAAATATATGATTTCTTTAATATGTCCCTCTCTTATGTTTGTTTATTTTCTAATGCTAAATGGATTGTGATCTATGTGATATTCTCTAAAGGAAATTGTCGATTATTGAATTATCTAATGTTTTGACCACTAGAGACAGCTAAATGTGTCTCTACTGACCAGAAATTGGATTATTGGATTATTTTTCTATTGTCTACAAAATATGAAAAATAGATATAAGGACGGTTTTAGCCATGTCTATCAACCATCCTACCTTACAGAAACGGTTAGCAAAACCACATCTTACGAAACAAGGGCAACAGCAATGCCTTCTTGAACCATCTCTAGGAGGCATAGAGACGGTTATAACTGTACCTACAAGCTAAAAAGCTTGTTTCTATAAACTGTTTCAGCTGTAGTGCTTTATTTCTCTAGCAACTTCTATGTGTCTCTTAGAACAACGAAGTAAGGGGAAAAAAAGCTAGAAAATTAAACAAAGTAACTGAGGGTGTGTTCACTTTGTTGCCATTTGGCAAGGTAACAAATCAAACACTATCCCAAAGCTTTACCAAAATTTGGTGAGCCTCAAAACAAACACTAACTAATCTTACTTTACCAACGAAAATTTAATTTAATAATGCTAATATTTGGTACTAACAAGCTAGCTTGGTAATGTATTTTTCAACAAAATAAAAAAAGCCCAAAATTGAAAAGGAATGGCAAAGAAGAAAATCATTTTTTTATATAAATAAGTAAAACAAATAGTTTGTATGGCAAATAAGGTGTTTCATATATCTGATTTTTTTTCTCTAGAACTCTTTCGTAAAAGAAATCTACTAGGCGCTTCTTTCAAGTACTAGATCAACCTTTCTAAAAAAACTAAATGATCAACCTTAAATATTCACATAGTTTTAAGGTGAAACAAAGAAATTTCAAGATTAAAATTTAAAATTTATGTTATGCTGTAGAACTTTGCCAATACTAAAAGAAGAAAAAAATACATGAGCACTTCTTCCATTTTCCAATAACTGATAATATTGCCTATCATTGTTTCACTTTTGTTCACCAATTACTCTTAACATAGTTAAAATATAATTAATGAAAGTTCCATGCTTATATTTATGACGTTTTACACTTTAACAAATATGGTTTTTTTAGTATGTGCAAATATTTTATAGAAAAGACGAGAAGTCCAAAGTGTAAAAATGAATTGTCTTGTGTCAGTTATTTAGAAAAGGTTACATATAAAAGCACATCTGCCAGGGATTAAAAAACCTTATACATTGTAAATTGGCAGTTGTTTTCAAGTTGTGTTCACTCACCATTAAAAGAGAATCACACAACGGACGAATTGTTTGAATTACAGCTTATTGGCTACAACTGACTTTGAATTTTGTATGTGTGTTTTAGAATTGATTTGGAGCCTTTCAACGTCGTCACTCGTCCTTTTGATCGATGAAAGTGTGTGTATCCATATTATACTAGTCAAAGTACTCCCTCTGTAAATATATAAGAGATTTTGGTTGGATGTGACCTCTGTCTCTCTCTAAATATAAGAGGTTTTGGTTGGATGTAACGTATATTAGTACTACAAATCTAAATAGATCATATACAGATTTATAATATAGGATACGTCTCCATCTATCCAAAATCCCTTATATTCGAAGTGAGTATCTTCTTAATTATAAACACCACCAAAAAATATACTCCATCCGTCCTTAAATATAAGGGATTTTCGTGGAATGTGACACATCCTAGTATAATGAATATGGGCATAAGCATATTTAGATTCGTTGTATTAGGATGTGTCATATCCCACCAAAATTCCTTATATTTAGGGACGGAGGGAGTACCTTCCAAGCAAACCATTAATGAAAACATAATAAAAAATGGTAGAACTGCAAAGCAGTAATTTTACAGAATTAGACTGTGTTTTTAAAATTTAACCAAAGGATACCAAATTACCATCATCTGGAATCAGAAAGACAGCCAAAGCTGATACGTACACAAGATTCCAGAGAATAGTCGTAGTACTACTACAAGTAGTACTGTACGACTTTTGTCCTGTAGGTATCTTGGGAAACAAGGCGATTAACGATAAGCCTCGTCCCTTCAGTTTAGTCTCTAACCTTTTAAATGGTCTAAAGAAATCCTTAAACTTTGTCATAAGGTCTAGAATAGTCCTTGGGTCCACCAAAATCATTATATAGATATGTTATGTCATCATTCATGCAAAATCTATGATGAATTGTCCAATTTACCCTTAAGTATATTATAGAAAAATAAATATAAGGGTGAATTAGACATAACTATAGGAAAAAATACTTATCCTTTTTTCATCCTTTTGATGTATATTTTTGCTCTTACATTTTACCTTTTGTTTTTTATTTTCCTATGATATATATAAGGGTAAATTGGACAAATCATATAGATTTTGCATAGGAATGTGACATGGCATGTCCATGTGACGATTTTGGTGAGACTAAGGACTATATTAACCCACGTGATAAAATTAAAGGACTTGTTTGGACAATATAAAAGATTAAGGACTAAAATGATCCAGGAGCGAAACTTTAGGGACCATATCAGCTATTCTCCCAGACTAAAATATCTACGGAAAAGATGCCAACTCGGCCTCGCTTTCTTCTCCCCGGACCGTGCGGTGCGTGTTGGTGCAGGTAGGTGCAGGCCCCCAATTACTCCCCTTCCGGTGTGCGCCGCCGGCCCAGAAACAGGCGGCTGCCCCCCGGAAAATCCCCCAACCCCAGCCCACGGTAACCGCGGCGCTCTCTGCTGCAAGCAACGTACGTACATCCACGGGTCAAACGTGCCGAACAGTGCTCCTACTACTACTAACCGTGTGCCGCCGCTGTAATGCACACACGGTTAGTACGTACGGCTCCTCTCCTCGGGGCTCGGGGACGGAAGCCGCCGCCGCCGCCGAGAAATCGGCACGGTCCGTTTGCTGTTACTAGTATCTTCCGTCCCTCTCCGGCGGGGCCTGAGGATCGTAACAGATCGTGCTTGTACTTGCCATGTTGGAGGATGTTACTGTTGCTGATTCTGTTCGTTTTTTCCCCCTTAAGATAGGGGTGCATTTTCTGGTTACCCAAGAACAGTGGCCGTGATCGCATTGGTTAGTTCTAAATTCTAATGGTTAGTTTCTCATCACCGAAACAGGGTTCCCTAACCAGATGTTACCGTCGAAACCGATAATCTCGGATGCGTGATGCATGAATTCGATCAAGAATCATCCATAGTAATTGGGCTGCTAGCCAGGTAGCTGCTGGGAGCATTTGCAGGGCGATAGAAACAGTGGTAAGAATTGCAAGCTGAGTTAACTGGAAATTTCATATTTACATTAGAGAAAAACTTGGATTCAGCAAAAGCTTCACTGAGACTGGCGCCGACCATGCACAGTTACAACTTCAACAATGGATTAATTTCAACAAAAATAACGCATAGAGTACGGTAAAAAAAGACACTGGTTACTTACTACGGGTAGGGAAAAATTTTTTCACATACATGTCATTTTTATTGTGACATTTTTACTAGAGCGCTAGCGACGGCAGCTCGTAGTCTTCGAAGGTCCAGAGCCCGGCGGGCGCCGCGGCTTCCTCGGCGCCGGCGGCGGAGGCGGCGCCGCCCTCCATGTAGGGGATGCCGAGGAAGCTCATGTAGTTCTCGTACGCGAGCAGCTCCTCGGACAGCTCCTTGACCTCGTCGGAGGAGCAGGCGCCGGCGCCCTCGGACACCGCCTCCATCTTGGGCGGCGGGAGCACGGCCGGCGTGGGCGCGACGCGAGGGACGGCCTTCGCCGCCGCCGCGGCCGGCGCGGGGGCGGCGCCGAAGTCGTTGGGGAAGTTGACCTTCGCCTTGGCGCCCCTGATGCGGCGCGCGGCGCGGTCGTAGGCCCGCGCGGCGGCCTCGGCGGTCGGGTAGGTGCCGAGCCAGACGCGCACCCCCTTCACCGGGTCGCGGATCTCCGCCGCCCACTTCCCCCACGGCCGCTGCCTGATCCCGCGGTACTGGTTCTTCCGCTCCCTCTTCGCGCGCGGCGCTGCACGATTCAACCAGAGACATCAGCCAAGAAAGAAAAAAAAAACAGAGCAAGAAGCAGAGGCCATGAGAGGAGAAGTTACGTTTCTCGGGAGCGGGGGTGTGGGGGTCGGAGTCGTCGGCGTCGGGCCAGAAGTCGGAGGCGCACAACCGGCGGCGCGCCGGGATGTAGTCGTAGATGATTGCACCGCCGCACATCGGATCGGTCGGTCCTAGCTAAGCTGAAGCCTCGGTTTTCTTGCTTGGAAGGGAAGTGGAGCGGAAACAAGGGGAGGGAAGCAGAAGAAGTGTGTGCGTGTTTTTCTTTAGGCGGACGTTGGATTTGGATGGGCGGTATGAGGCGGACCTGGGGGTGTGTATATATACCGTGCGTGTTGTGGGCGCGGTGGGTGGCGTGGGGGCCAGCCGCCAGCGACCGGGGGAGGGAGTGGAACGCAGGCGCGTCCCAGCTGGAGGAGCTGGACCGCGTCCGTCGGTCGGGCCCTCGCCTCGAATCGTGTTGGGTTTGTGCGGCCGCAATATGCATCATCCGCATCTGCATCGGCACGGACTGGTGACTGTGAGTAAATTACGCGCGTCAAGGTCCAGGGCGGGGCGGGCACTGAGCTGTTCGGTGCGGCGCGGAGATATTTTAAACAACTGGAGCCATCAATGATCGTCGTGCCGAAAAGGCACGGGGGCAATTTTGCAAGTGTTTTAGAGCTAGCTCACCGTTTTTTCGTAGCCGCTGTTTTCGTGCAGGCGGCAGAGCGAAGCCTCACGGAACTCGCCATCTCTTTTGGTTTTTACTCCGTATGTTCTAGTACTACTAATAACGTGCATGCATGCATGCACGCACGCTGGCACGCACGGCACGAGTCGATCGAGCGGAGACCGAACACCAACCGTGACGATGAATATTCGTCCCGCGAAGTCGTCGTGAGCCAGCGCGCGGCGTAGTACGTGCTGTACGAACGAACGACCCGGCGCGCCGCGGCGCTCGGTCGATCGGTCGCACGCGCCCGGCGCCACGGCGTACTCGTCAGCAAGCCTTCCTCGACGTCACGAAATTGAAAAGGAAAAAATGTTTTGCAGCTTCTGGCACTCAAGAGATCGTCTCCCTCGAAGCAAAGCATTTTAATTTGTCCTGGTAGTAGACGTACACACGTTAGTTTCAAACTTCAAACGTGAAAAGTCCATTGCACAAACGAAGAAATTAAACGCCAAATATACTCCCAATCGGTTACGGAGCACTTTAGGCAGGTTTAGAGTGGAGCACTTAGCTTCAATTCAAAGACAGGCTGACCGGGGACAAAGGGCACCTACTACAAGGCTACAAACAAGAATACATACGAACCACGATCGATTGTTTCTCACGTTCTCATTATTACTTTTTGCAAACCAGTTTGACCTATTTTAATTTTCAAAAATAAGTTTGACCTGTTTTGTTTTTGTTGGAAGAAAACGCCGTCTGACCTTTTGGACGGCTGGATGCCACCGTTTTCCAGTCCTCTTTCAGAGATTCAACTTCAACTGTCCTTTTTTCTTCTGCATAGTTTCAACTTCCTACAATATTAGTTTTAGTCGAATTGGCTTGAAAACAAACTAAAGAACATGACATCTATATAATCATTTTTTATGGGATTTGTAGTTAACAGCACCGATCGAATTCGTCACTTTAGTAGAGTCACATCACTGGAGAGGTAATTTATTAATTTAATTTAACACATTCAAACCACCTTTTTTTTATGTAGCAGCAACCATGCATATCATAACATGGGAGTACATCACACTCCTTGGCTCAATGATATTCATTTTACGGAACATAATCATCAGCCATTGCGTCAACAAAAAATTCTTTGATGGCTACTTGCAAACCTCAAAACCAATTCAGCTCAAGAGTGGAGACAAAACCACCGTGATGTGAGCACAACCACACCTGGTCGCCGTCACGTCATTTTTGTTGGATGACTCCTGTGTCCGAGTCGCCGAGTTGCGTACGTTACCGAGTGTAATAGCACGAGCAATTCTCAATGAAATGGATAGATAGGAAATTTGAGTAGAAGTAGTTGGGGGACCTACAAAATCCAGTGAGCCGCCAACAGGTTCGAGCATGGGGAACATGCCAGTTGTTGTAGGACCCAACGATGGAAAGATCAAGGGATCAAAAGGAAGATATTTGTTGGGAGTGCTTTTGACATAAATGATTTGGAAAGTTTCAAAAAGGTAAATATGATCAACTGATGAAGAAATTTTGGCGCCTCAAGGGATGGTTTCGAAGATCATGGAGGGAACGTTCCATGTGAGAAGAAAAAAAAGAGAGACGCAAAGAGGTTTCTCTGCTAAATTGTCACGCAAAGTCACTGCGCCAGATCTTTTCATCTGTGACGGGGTAGAGTGTCTCGTCACGGATGGCCTTACATGTGACGGCTTTAACTGGAGGCCGTAATAGATGAGGCCATGGGCCGAGACCCATCACAGGTAAGTTGTCACTTGTGCCAGACCACCATTTGCACCTGATAGAGGCGACCTCTATCGGGAGCAAATGGTCACCTCTATCAGGTGCAAATGGTGGCCCATCACAGGTGATAACTTACCATTAACGGGTGCAAAAATATAGACCATCACTGGTAAGTGAAAATCATCTTATACGTTTTTTTTTACCCCGTTAGAGGAGTAGAGGACACCAGCCAGATTTTTTTTTGCCCCCATCTCTCTCAATCTCTCTCTCTCCCACTCTCGAACCCTCCCCTCTTGAACTCCCCTCTCTCAGCCACTCTCATTCTCCTCTCACCGGTGGGTGTGCGCAGGTGGAGGACGAGGCGGCGCCGGCGGGTGAGCGGGAGTTGGGGCGGAGATGGCGGCGCTAGGGAGGCGAAGGGGAAGGTGAAGGCTATGGAGTTGGGGTGGAGGCAGCGGCTCGGCTCGGGGCGAAGGGGGTTGGAGATGGGGACGAGAGTAATTTTGATGAGTTCTATTTGTGACTGCCAGATGTGATATATGATTGTCCAAATGAATGTGATTGTAACCTATGATGACAGTGTTTTTGTTTTTTTTCCCTCGTTTTTACACCAGTGGCGGGTCGCAATTATGATTAGTGACATGTTAAAATATATACCCATCAGATATGACTCTCACCTGTGATGGGTTTTGGTTGGGACCGGTCAGAGGTGACCCTCATCTATGACGGGTTTTAGTTGGAGGCCGTTAGAGAGGTGACTCTTACCTCTAATGGGCCTTCACCTATCACAGGTGACTCAAAGTCATCGGTGACCAATCTCTGACTAAGGCTGAACCCGTCAGATGTGAAGATTTGGACCTGTCAGAGATGACATGATCCGGCGTAGTGAATCATTGTTTTGTGTATCCCATTGAGCCTGTACTTACTACTTTTTCATTTCAGTATGTAAACTATTCCACTTTATTTTTTTTTTGATCTTTTGCATGGTTGCCTTCGACGCTAGAAATGCTTACATCTAGACCATCGGATCGATTTTCTCTCCTACTATATATACCCCATCAAATTCTTCCACCATTACGCCCTTGCGACGAGAGGTGTGATGCATTGGTGTTTTGGCAATGGAAGTCGTAATCACTGTATATTTATTCCTCTTATGTATTTTGCTCATAGAGGTTGGTATACAGAATAAAGTCCATCACCGGTTTCTAAACTTGTACCGCTGTGTCATTCCGGTCCCTAAACTCGCAAATCGACCGTTCAGGTCCTTAAACTTGTTCGACTGTATCATCCAGGTCCCTAAACATGCAGATCACTCGTTTAGGTCCTCCAACTTGTTCAGTTGTGTCACCCCGGTCCATAAACAGGACGGTCTAAAAATTTTATATCAAAAAATAATTCATAACTTTTTCATGTTAACTTTAATGAAGACAAACTTTATATCAAAATTGTAGCCCTCGATGTGACCTACAACTTTGTAGTTGAAAAGTTTTTGAATTAAAACTGTTTAGGGTCCCAAAATATTGTTGCATGTTTATAGATTTTGTAATTTTAATTTTAAAATTACATTTTGGGACAAAAATGACTTAAAATAAAAAAAATTCAACTACAAAGTTATAGATCGCGTCGCGGGCTACAAGTTTGATATAAAGTTTATCTTCATTAGAGTTCACATGAAAAAGTTATGAATTATTTTTAAATATAAAGTATTTAGACCGTCCTATTTGACCCAGATGATATTCAAATCCAAGTTTAGGGAACGGGTGACACAACTGAACAAGTTGGAGGATCTAAACGAGTGATCTGCAAGTTTAGGGACCGGGATGACACAGTCAAACAAGTTTGAGGACCTGAACGGTCGATTTGCGAGTTTAGGGACCGGAATGATACAACGATATAAGTTTAGGGATCGGTGATAGACTTTACTCTACATGATATTATGAGCACTTACGTTTCAATGTATTTCTCAAAAATATTTTTTCTTCAGCAATGAACATCGTCTCCATCCAACCAAGATGCCACGAGAATGGCTCAATTTGGTAGGCGAGCTACACGGAGACTTGGAAAAGGATGGTGCAGTTGACTCCCTTATCTCAAGGATACACTTCCGGACCACCCTTCAATTAGGGTTGGACATTGGTTTTCTTGTTCGATTTACGGCATTTATAATTCTTTTTAAAATGTGAACTCAAAAACATCCTACGAAAATAATACAAGAGCACTTATACTCACACCGTAATAATGAGGAGAACACCCAACCAAAACAAAACCTACAACCTCCGCACACACAGCCAGATTCGGGGAATGTGAGTCGTCTAGTCGTCGCCGCCCCTAGTGCGCTATCGCTGCGAACCTCTATTGGTACCATCTTCATCCAGTTCAGGTGAGCTGACGTCACGTGCCACCGGTTAGCCCACCTTCATTCGTATTCGCCCAGTCAAAATTAGCAGACCAGACGCGAGCCGACATGATCCACTTCCGCTTCACCGGATTCCTAGGCCTCCACTACCCATAGGGCCGCCACAGTCGTCGAAATCCTCTCCTATCTCCAAACTCCCAGCCCGTCGCCGCTCCCCGGAAAACCACCACTGTCAAGGGCCACATATCTTGCCAAAAACTCAGTCCTCTACCACCGCCGCCGAGGATATCCTCTTTCGCCCGTACTCCCAGGCAGCTGCTACCCCTAGGGCCGCCGCCGGGGTCCACCTCTGCCTGATCTGCCTCCTCCTTGCCGAGAACCTTGCACTGACGCTCAGGCCGCAGTCGTCTAGGGCCACCGCCGCCGCCACCGCTGAGAACGTCATTTCTGCTTGGACTCCCAAGTCGCCGCGGCCCTAGGGCCGCCGCTGCCTACAGGACCACCTCGGCCTAATCCACCTTCTCCCTGTCGACGACTGACCGTCTCGGTTTCACTGCGGGGCTTGAGTATGTCCCC